CAGCGGTTAAGTGATCGGGCTGGGCTGGTGCGGGGCCACGCAGATACCTTCACATTGCTTTGACTAGAGCCCATTTTTCTTGAGCTGGCTGAAGCCGGGGGCTGGTTTTGCCACCTGTGTGTCTCCATTCCTCCACGTTGGCCAGGGCACGTCTGCAGCTGCTGTGGGCGTCCTGAGTGCGGCTGTCAGCCTGCTGCAACCTCCTTGGTGGCCTTTGGGGACGCCCTGTGCCCTTGGAGGTGTTTTTTGGGGGCACTTCCCGGGTGGTGGTGGTGCCCCACGTGGCGTGGCCCTGGCAAGCTGTGGCCGCTCTGGCAGCAGGTGCTGCCTGGTGCCTATGCTGGCAGGACGCCTGGCGGCCCAGACCTGGGTGCAGCTCCCAACGTTGGGCCTCAGCCCCTCTGGGAAAACAGGCTAAGTAGATTGTGTGGGGATGAAAAAGCCGCTCTTTTTAGCCTCATACAGCTCACTTAGATGAGGGATGTGAAACTCTTGAACACAAGGTAGGAGGGCTGCAGGGACTAGAGAGAACTGGCAAACACAGGCCCTTTCCTCCCGTGTAGTGGACAAGCGGCGGCGAAATCAGTCCCTGCTCTGCGAGTGGTTTCTGGACAGCGACATTGCTTCCTCTCTGCAGCCCCCGCCGGAGCGTGAAGCAGTGCCAGCTGCTGCGAGAGGGGGCAAGAGGTGGAGCTGCAGCTATTCTCAGCAGCAAACCCCTAGGAATGATAAAATGTGTGTTTTGACACAGAAAGAGCAGGCAAAGACATTCCAGGTGCTTGCCCTCTGTTGTCAATAAGTTTCAGGTCCCCAAGGCAGCTCTCGCTGTGCGTGAAGATGATCTGTACAAGGGGGTGAAATGGGCAACTCCCATTGGTACAGGTGGTACCAAGTCCTCTCAGCAGGTTCTGCCTCAGAAAGAAGGGACTGATCAAACTGTGCACAGATAATTTTAAATAATCATCAGAAAATTTTCCTGCTTGTGCAGGAATGGTCGCACAGATCTGTCTTTTGCGTGTAGCTAAGATAGTTGAGTATGGTTGGGCACAGGTTTTTGTACTTTTCCTTTCTCCCTCACTGGTGGAACTGCTGGGCACCAGGGAGGCGGTAAGGTCTGTGGATTGACGGAGAGATCGGGCTGCGTGGGGGCATCTGCAGGAGGCACCTGGCGGAGTGAAGAGCCAGGGCCAGCTTCTGCCCTGTGCATCTGAGCCGGGGTTCTGTAGGTGACCGTGTGTTGTGTATAGGGCGGTCTGTAGCAGCAGCTGGAGCAGGGCTGCACACCTCAAGGGTTTGAATGCCAGCGCCTGCTGGACGGGGAATCCCGGAGCAGCTCGTGTGCCCAGGCACGTTCCTGAGGGACGCACAGTGTGCGGGTCCAGGAGGTGCGTGTGTGTGTGTCCATGGGGAGGTCCCCCCAGCAACTGGAGCCTGGGCACTTGCATGTCCAGGTACCAACAGCTGGGGAGCCTGGGTGTCCAGGGGCCAGCTACTGGGTAGACAGGTATTTAAGCCCAGTTACTACAAGTGCCCATGCGTGTATACGTGTAAAAACGTATATATCTCCCACTGATGGACCTTTGTACTGATCTTCAACAAGATCAGGAGGGAACAAGGGAACAGAATGAAGCCGTTGCTCCCATTTCCGTTCCTGTGAGTGCTGAGTGTTTCTGTCTGCATTATTATATATGGCTGGCTCTGTATGTGCACATATGTATTGTGTAGGTGTGTGTTTGTGGGCACATTGAGCATATATGCTCAGCCTCACTGTTGGTTGAACCTGGAGGCATGAGCTATATCAGCCTTTCTCAGGCTACCAGATTTGGCAACTTCATAGCCGTGTACAGGTTACACCTTTAAAAACATATGACACTGAGATCT